CTCTCTCTCTCTCTCTCTCTCTCTCTCTCTCTCTGAAAGATCGATGAAAATTTAATCGGATCAAACGTTCGCCTTAATCAAACATACAAATTACAGGCTTGTCAATAACACGCACGTGCAGTTTGACCGTTTAAATCGTCGAAATGATTTGCATTCCGTCGACGCTAATGCGACGTTTTTTAATTCGAGATATTCTGTGTGTGTCGGAAGGAATTAACTCGTCAACGTAGCGTATTCGTTGTTAACGAACGGGCTCTGATTTTACAGGTGAAAATTGCCAATTGAAATGGTGTTTCACCGTTTCTGTCCTGAAAATTATTGAACACCTCGAATTATTATATCGGTTTAAAAATGGATTGGCCAGGAATACATGTCGGCAAACAATTTCGCGTATATATCTGGTCGGCTCGCGAATCGCTCCGAGCTTCGAGATATTCCCGAACGGCGGGAAAGAAACGCTAAAAATCCGGGATTAAAGCGGCTACCGTGCCCGTGGAAAAGAGATTTCGAAACCGACAACGCGCACCTTCCATCCCGCGATTTATCGACGACGCTTTGCGCGGCGCGTCGTTCCGATTTCACATTCCCGTGGAAAAAGTAGGGAAAAAAAAAGAGAGAAAGGGGTAAAACTTATTGAATCGCGCAAGTGCGCCTCGCCGTTGCAGAAATTGATTTCTGGGCGGCAAAGTAGCCCGGCAACCGTGAAAAATTTCCCCCCCGACGCCGCCGAGAACCATAATGTACAGATTGCGTTCGCTCGACGTCGAGCACCGGAAAACTTCCCGCAAGTTGACGCTACGACAAGACTATTCGCGACGCTGCACCGATTTCACGCAAACGAGAAGCTCGAGATCTCTGACGTGTCCCTTTGAAGGAGTTCATTTATCCGAGAGCAATCGAATATCCCCGCAGGATCAAGTGTAACGTGAGGAGAATCTTTAACGCTGGAACGACTCGCGTGCAAAACCCGTGTTCAGGAGAATTAAAATGCAAAAGTAGGAACGATAAAAGAGACTTGCAGAGACTTACTTGTACAGGATGTCCCATTTGAAACGTCCCGCGCAATTAATCCAACTATTCGTTGTAGAAAGAATGTTTCAAATAAAACTTATTTTGCTTCGAGTAGGGCGTGCTCTCGAGATTTCAAAGTGATCTTCATTTTTTTTTTAAATGAACGTATTTTTTTTTTCTCTTTTTTAGATGAACATGTAGCCGATTGCATCGATCGAGATCACCATTTCGAATATGAAAGATAAGACAATACTCTCTTGATACGTTTAACGCGGATAATTTTTGAAAGACAATAAACCTAGTCTAAGCCTAACCTTGAAATACCAATATACGAAGGCTGATGAATTCATCATCGGCTGCATGTCCATTTGAAAAAATTGAAAACAAAACAAAGATCACTTTGAAGTTTTCATTTTATCTAGACAAGATTTCTAACCACCGAAAGATGTCTTTCTCAAAACAACGATAAATTTTATTTCTAACATTTTTTTTCTATGACGAATACATAACTTAGGAGATAATTGCGCGGGACATTTCAAACGGGACACCCTGTATATTTTTTTTGTCAAGTCATTCAAACATCTAAAAGCCTACCGTTTATAAAATGTATATTCGTGTAAATTTCTGCAAAAATTATGAATTGGCCGTTTTGATCACTCTGATGGCTCCGGTGTTGAAACGAAAGCAATGTCTGTTGGAGTTGTGTAAGAAGGTACACAAAGTTCTATTTATATATTTTCAAATTCTTAAAAAATCTACAGTTTATCAGTCGGTGAAATTTCTGCAAAAAATTAGGAATTGGTCATTTCGAGCACTCCGGTAGTCTGTATTGCATAATAAAGGAACGCTGCATTTCAGCGAGTTTCGGAGACCTTCGAATCCACGTACACTTGCACGAGCAATGTCTAGGATGAGATTATCACGTGCGAGTTACTCCTTTGTTGGGAACTTGACGCTGGGAGACTGAAAATGTGATTAGAAGAGCGAGAACATAACTTAACTTAATGAACAGTCACAATAAAACTATTTGATTCAGTAACTCGAACAATCTGCGAGTGACGCAGCTTCTAACGAGATTACGTTGTATCGCGAAAGTATACTTCATGTGCGAGTGAAACAGTTGTTTGACTCGCAGAATTCGAAAAAGATATTTAGTTAAAACTTACTGAGACACGCGCGCGCTGTATTCGGTTAATTTTAAATTAAACTATAACTACGAATTCATCGAATTATCATTGACTCTGTTTACAAGTTCAAGTACGGCTCTAAAACAAATTATCTAAAATCCGAGAAAATCATTTCA